ATGTTCTGCCACTGCCGACAGTTGTGTTTGAGATAATTTAATATTTCTCTGATGTTCTTTTAGTCTTACACTGATGTTACGTCCCGTCTGCCCAATGTAGCAGCTGCCACATAAACAATTAATCCTATATACACCTTCTGTTGATAATTTAGGTAATGCATCTTTAGTGCAAGATACTAGTTTTTGAATTTTGTGTACTGTACCAAATCTTACTGTAATGTTTTGCTTTTGCAAAACACGGGCTAATTTGTCAGTTACTCCTGAGATATATGGAATTTTTATTGTTTTAACAATCTGGTCGCTTTCAGCAGTATTGCTTTGCGATCGTGATTTGGCATTCAGTGCTCTGTTAATTTGAGCATTATTGTAGCCATTCTGTCGTAGTGCGTCTTTAACGTGCTTAATCTCTCTCACTAGACTCTCACCATCTGACACTGTTTTAGCCCGATGTATGAGCGTCTTGATAAGAGAGGATTTCTGAGCTGGATAATGATGTGATTCTGGATTCAGATAGGCATCAGTGTGCGTTTGCTTTCTGTAAACGCTGTGTGTTATTTTACCGTTTAGGCCACGTCCAAGCAAAATATCTAGGAATGGGAGTGTGTTATTCACCTCCATTTCCATGGTGAACTGGATGGCCGGGTTTTGTGCATTGAGATGATTTAGAAAATCATTAAGTGTATCTTTACCATGTGGCCAGACAACCAAAGTGTCATCCACATATCTAAACCAAAAGGATGGTTTTAATGTGCTCGAGGCAAGTGCTCTTATTTCAAAGTTTTCCACGTACAAATTTGCTATAGCAGGGGATAAAGGAGAACCCATTGCTGCTCCTTCCTTTTGTTTAAAGAAATCCCCTCTCCATAAGAAGTAAGTGTTATTTAAACAATGGCCAGCAAGTTTCGGAATATCTTTTGATAAACCGGCATTCTTTACTAGTGTATCAAGTAATTTAAGCGATTCGTCCACTGGAACCTTAGTGAATAGAGAAATCACATAAAAACTTACCAGAATATCATCAGGAGTAAGTTTAATATCTTTAATTACATTCACAAGATGTTCTGAATTTTTTATGAATGAAGATGTCCTACCGATGTAGGGCTGTATTTGTTTGGTTATATATTTTGCTAATTGATATGTGGCAGAGCCAATTGTACTGACTATGGGTCGTAATGGGATGCCTATTTTCTGAATCTTTGGTAGCCCATAGAGTCTAGGTGGTTTTGAGGCCCTTGGCTTAATTAAGCCTTAATAAGGTGACGTAAAGTGTCGAACGCCCGCTGGCAGAAGGTCACGGGACAGACCTAGGTGCCATAGGTTGACTGACTGAGATGACTGGATGATACGCCATCAACGCCCCCATCTGTGCCACTTCGCTGTGCTTTAGCCACATGGCGCTCAGCTCATTGTTGTGAGCGTCGCTCCTCTGCCAACCATTGTTGCTAGAGGGGGACCAGTGAGTGGCAAGTCCACCTAGCTCCACATTCTCGTATAGCACAAACACATACAACAACAACAACAACAACCGCCATTCGCCACTAAGTGGCGGTGACGTCACCACGACGCTTGTGCCAGGCTATGTGCACCGTGAGGCCACGTGAAGTGTCGAACGCCCGCTGGCAGGAGGTCACGGGGCAGACCCAGGTGCCACGGGTCGACTGACTGAGATGACTGGCTGATGCACCACCTGTGCCCCCTACTGTGCCAACCTGCTGTCCTTTAGCCACCCGGCGCTCCGCTCGTTGTTGTGAGCGTCGCTCCTCCGCCCTCCGTTGTTGTTGGAGGGCGACTGCCTCCAACTGCCCAGTAGCATCCTTCACGAGCCTCCTCCACAGAGGCCGATCTTGACACCGCTGGTACCAGTCATCGGCAAGTCCACTCAGCTCCACGTCCTCCTGTACCACATCACTCCATCTCTTCTCTAGCCCGTGCCGCGCCCGCTTAGCCCCCTCAATCCGGCCAAACAAAAGCTGTTTCGGCATGCGGTGGCTGGGCATGCGGGCTACATGACCCAGCCATCGCAGCCTTGCCTGCCGGAGGAGCTCACCGATGGGACCCTGCCCAGATCTTTCAAGAATTTGTGAGCTCCTCACACAATCCAGTCTGGTTAAACCCAGGATGGACCGTAGGCAGGCCAGCCTAAATGTTTCTAACCGGCGAAGATGTTCCATTAGGGGGGTCCACGTTTCGCAAGCGTAGAGAAGGGAGGGAATGATCGTGGCCGAGAAGACCTGAAGCTTAGTGCGGAGCGACAGACCAGGTAGCTTCCACACAGCGTTACGCAACCGATGAAAAGATATTGCCACTCGACTGATTCGGAGTGAGACCTCTGCTGTTAAACTGGAGCCAGTCATAAGCACACTGCCCAGGTATGGGAAACTCTCCACTCTCTCCACAACTGCCCCATCACCGATTTGGAGTTGTGGGGGTGGAGTGTCCGATGGTACAAAATACCCAGGCAGGTGCTTAGTTTTGGTGGGGCTGATGGTAAGGCCCCACCTCTTAGTGGCACGCTCCAGTCTCAGCAGCAGCGTCTCCAACTCCTCCTCTGACTGAGCAGCTATTACCAAGTCATCAGCGTACATAACGTGGTTGAGCAATAGGGAGCCATCCCTTGACCGCACCCGGGCATCGATTAGCCTCCCATTATATCTGTACCATATGGAGATTCCCCCGGTACAGCTATTGAAGGCTTCACGAACTACGTGGTCAAAATAGATGTTAAATAATGTGGGAGCCAGAGGACATCCCTGTCGCACCCCAAGGTGTACAGGGAATGGCTCTGACTCCCGGCCACGTAGTTTTACCCGGGCCCGCTCACCATCATGAAGGTCCTTAATGATCGTGAGCAGAGGGTCAGGTACTCCAAAAGCACGAAGAACGACCCAGAGCCCAGGCCTACTGATGGTATCATAGGCCTTGACCAGGTCAATAAAGCAGAGATGTAGGTCTTGTTGGAATTCCCTACACCTCTGCTGTAGCAGACGGACAGAAAATATGGCATCTGTGCAGGACCGCCCTTTCCTGAAACCGCATTGGGGCTCCGCAAGCCTCTCCTCAGCGTGCCTGGCAAGGCGATGCTGAATAATCCTTGCCAGGACCTTTCCCGGCACACTGAGGAGTGAGATGCCCCTGTAGTTGTTACAGTCTGTGCGGTCCCCCTTCTTAAAAAGGGGGACCACCAGGGCATCCTTCCAATCCTGCGGAACCCGTCCAGTGGTCCAGACTGTTGTTATGATGTCATATAGGGCAGTCTGTGCACAAACGCCACCCTCCCTCAGCATTTCGCTTGGGAGATCATCTCTGCCCGCTGCCTTTCCTGGTCTCAGACTCCGGATCGCCTTCAATACTTCCTCAGCAGATGGCACCTCAGCCAGCCACTCACAGGGGGTGACTTCATCCAATATTTGAGGCACCGCATCCTCAGCAGGGTCATCCTCACTTTGTGCCACGATCTTTTCCTGGCTGAGGGATTTTCCCTCCCCCAGGACCTCACAGAAATGCTCAGCAAATCTGCGAACCTGTTCCTGGGGGTCGGAAATTGGATCACCGTTTTTTCCCCTAATGATGGTAATAGGTGTGGCGCTGCAGGTTACTTTTTTGATGGAGTTAAATAGAGATTTGTGATCACGGGCCACTGAGGCAGACTCCATCTCCTCAGCAACCCGCGACCACCACCCATCCTTGCAGCGCCTCACGGCTCTCCGAACCTCCGAGCGAAGGCTGCGGTAAGCCTCCTCATTCTCTGACGTGGGATTCTGTAGCCGATGACAGTGGGCCTGTCGCTTTTTCTCAACCATCCTGAACAACTCCTCTGTCATCCAGGGTGTCTGGGGAGGTCTGGGCCGCGTACCCAAAGCAGCCATTGCAGCTGCATGAGTCACAGTCCTAAACCTCGCCCATTTACCCTCGACATCAGGAGGAGTCGGGGACGATGCCAATCCCAGCCGCAAGCGATGATGAAATTCTCGCTTGCAACTTTCATCAGATAACTGAGACCAGGCCACTTTAGGTTGGAATGGGGTCCTGGGTGTACACCCACCACCGGAGTGGAAGAATGGCAGGCGCATCTTACAGATGACTAGTCGATGGTCAGAGGGCAGATCAGCTCCACGGTAGGTCCTGGTGTCAAGGACATGGGCTCGCATTCGCTGGTCCGTCACTATGTAGTCCAGCAGATGTTCTTGCTTGGACCCGGCATGCATCCATGATGTTGTGTGGATGCGCCGATGCCGGAACAGCGTGTTGGTAATTACAAGCCCATGGGCTGCACAAAAATCTAGCAGCCTCCTACCGTTGTTATTGAGCTGATCTGGCCCATGCCCTCCAATCACTCCAGACCAGGTGCCAGTATCATGACCAACTCGGGCATTGAAGTCACCCAACATGATGACTCTATCCCGAGGGGCCACTTTAGCCAGCACCTGTGACAGGAGGTCATAGAAGGCATCTGACTCATCGGCTTTGCCTGCATCCCTCCACGGATGTTCATCTTCGGTGGGGGCATAAGTAACCACGACCACCATTCCTCGCCTCCGGTTGATGGGAAGGCGAGCCCAAAGTAGCCTGGGGCTTACAGCTTCCCACACCTCACCGCCACGCTCCCACGCCCCCTTCATTCTTTTGTTCAAAAGAAGACCCACACCCTGTTGTTTGGCAGTCTGCTGCCCCGAGTAGAGGACTGTCCACCCCTCATGGTGGCAGGAGCCAGAGCCGGTCCACCGGACCTCCTGAATGCCGCATAGATCCAGGCGGTACCGGTCCAGCTCCCGACAGAGGAGTGGCAGCCTCTCCTCTGCAGTGAGCGTTCGAACATTCCACGTGGCCACCCGTAGTGGCTTTTCGTTGTTTCTGGAGTAGCCCCGAGGGTAGGTATTCAATCTCCTGGCTCCGCCAATTGGGGTTTGGCCAGGAGACGTCATAGACGCCTGGCCCCCCAGGGCCTCCGGCACACACACTTGTACACATGCACACGTGCAGGCCGTGGTCGTCAGACTTACAGTAATTCATGTTGCTGGTGCCGTTAATGTTGTAGAGGATTTTAGACATGCAGTTCCCATTGGCGTTGAGAGCTTCCTTCCTGGAGGACACTGTGACTGGAGACCGGACAGACAGAGAGACAGGGCAAATCGTGATGAAGCAGTAGACATCACCATTATTGGACAAACGATGGTGCAGATGATGGCAGGTGCAGATGATGGCAGGAGCTGATCTCAATCATTTATTTAGAGGGGAGGAGGACTCGGAGGAGCTGAACTAAACCATGGACCTGAATTAAAAATTCACCCGACAAAGGGGAGAGAGACATGCGAACTGCAGGGTCGGGATCGAACCCACAACCTACTTTATACCAGGCCAGGTAGTTAACATCTCGGCGCCACTTGTGGAAAGAAGCTATGAAGCTCTTTTGCACAGATGTCCACTAACAGTAGATTAGAGAAAAGAATAGGTGTCATCCTTTCTGGAAATAAAACAGGAGTTGTATTAATATGTTCCAACACCAAATAGAAACCTTTGCAAGGAATCATGTCTGCATTAACCACATACCATACTTGTGGTGAACATGCAAACAAAAAAAAACATGCTCTGACAGTATTGCATTGTCTTTTAAACCGATTGGTCCACACCAGAGACAGCTTTCTTTAGAGCTGAGTCTCAAACAGTGTTAGACCAGAAGACGCCAAAAGGCGAATAGCACTAAGACAACGCACTATCAGGACATGAAGAGCTCGGGGTGATCAGCTCGTGCAGATGATCCCGAGCTCTCAATGTCCAGATAGTGCATCGTCTTAGTGCTGTTCGTCTGTTGGCGTCTTCTGGTCTGTTAAGGCTATATGGGGGATCTTTGTCTTTGTCTATATGTGTGTGTGTGTGTGTAAGTCCATATGTTTCTGTGTGTAGGTCAATGTGTGTGTGAGTATATGTATGTTTGCGTGAGTCGATGTGTGTTTGTAAGTCTACGTATGTGTGCGAGTCCATGTGTGTGTAAGTCCATGTGTGTAAGTCGATTTCTGTCTGTGTGAGTCCATATGTGTGTATAAGTGCATGTGTATATGTGTGTAAGTCGCTGTGTGTGTTTAAGTCCATGTATGTGTATGTAAGTTCATGTGTGTGTGTAAGTCGCTGTGTGTGTAATTCGATCTGTGTGTGTATAAGTCGATGTGTGTGTGTAAGTCGGTGTGTGTCTAGGTCGATGTGTGTGTGTAAGTTGATGTGTCTGTGTGTGTGAGTCAATGTGTGTCTGTGAGTCGATGTGTCTGTGTGTGAGAGTTGATGTGTGTGAGTCGATATGTGTGTGTGTGTCAGTCAATGTGTGTGTTAGTCGATGTCTGTGCGTGGCTCCATATCAAACAGTGTAAGTCCATTTATTCGTGTGTGTGTGTAGGTCCATGTGTGTGTGTGGCTCTATGTACGTGTGTGAGTCCATGTGTGTTTATTTGTCAGTCTATGTGTGTGAGTCCATGTGTGTGTGTTCGTCGATATGTGTGTTTAAGTCCATATACAGTGAGGGAAAAAGTATTTGATCCCCTGCTGAGTTTGTACGTTGTCCCACTGACAAAGAAATGATCAGTCTATCATTTTAATGGTAGGTTTATTTGAACAGCGAGAAACTGAATAACAACAAGAAAATCCGGAAAAACGCATGTCAAAAATTGTATAAATTGATTTGCATTTTAATGAGAGAAATAGGCATTTGACCCGCTCTCAATCAGAAAGATTTCGGACTCCCAGGTGTCTTTTATACAGGTGTAGTGTTCGATTTCACTCGGACAACTTCTGTCTTTCTTCGAACACCGCTTTATTTACAACTCTCAGCATGTCCTCCACATTCCACAATATCCAGGTCGCCACGGCTCGCTCGCCGTGCTTCACTCGACTCGCTAGCCACCTTTGTCTCTCCACTCCCCACGATTACTTCGCTTGCTCCGCACTCAGCGACTCCGCACTCAGCGACTCCGCACTCAGCGACTCCGCATCTCAGCAACTCCGCACTCAGCAACTCCGCACTCAGCGACTCCGCACTCAGCGACTCCGCACTCAGCAACTCCGCACACAGCGTCTTCGCGCACAGCGACTTCAGCTCCGCTATCGCTACGCTCTCTCCACTGCCAACTACTTCTCTTCTTCAGCTCTGCTATCGTTACACTCTCTCTACTGCTAGCTGCTTCTCTTCTTCAGCTTCGCTCCATACTCTGTTTCCAAACTCCATCTCCAACTCTGTCTCCAAACTCCGTTTCCAATTCTGTCTCCAAACTCTGTTTCCAATTCTGTCTCCAAACTCTGTCCCCCACTCTGTCTCCAAACTCTCCTCCAAACTCCACGTCTTGCCTCGTCCAGCTCCCAACCCCAACTCCCGCTCCAATTGCTGACCCCCCCAATTTATCCCCGCTCTCATTACGCCCCAATTAATTAGTCCGCGTCCCAACGGCACTCCGCGTGATCCGTACACCTGTTTCTCGCCAGACTTCAAGACGCCTCTCCAGCCCCGGCAACAGCCCCAACCAATCACAGCCGTCCTTGGCTCTCCCAGCTTAATTGCCCCAACGTAACCTGCACTGTATTTGCCTTCGTTACAGGCTGACCCAACATAACCCCAATGACTTTGCCTTCACAACAGGCTGACCCAACATAACCCGCACTGTCTCTGTTTCCATGCAATACGCACCTTTCTACGCCACTACACAGGTAACGAGGTGAGATTAGGAGCACACTCTTAAAGGGAGTGCTCCTAATCTCAGCTTGTTACCTGTATAAAAGGCACCTGTCCACAGAAGCAATCAATCAATCAGATTCCAAACTCTCCACCATGGCCAAGACCAAAGAGCTCTCCAAGGATGTCAGGGACAAGATTATAGACCTACACAAGGCTGAAATGGGCTACAAGACCATTGCCAAGCAGCTTGGTGAGAAGGTGACAACAGTTGGTGCGATTATTCGGAATTGGAAGAAACACAAAAGAACTGTTAATCTCCCTCGGCATGGGGCTCCATGCAAGATCTCGCCTCGTGGAGTTCCAATGATCATGAGAACGGTGAGGAATCAGCCCAGAACTACACGGGAGAATCTTGTCAATGATCTCAAGGCAGCTGGGACCATAGTCACCAAGAAAACAATTGGTAACACACTACGCCGTGAAGGACTGAAATCCTGCAGCGCCCGCAAGGTCCCCCTGCTCAAAAAAGCACATATACATGCCTGTCTGAAGTTTGCCAATGAACATATGAATGATTCAGAGGACAACTGGGTGAAAGTGTCGTGGTCAGATGAGACCAAAATGGAGCTCTTTGGCATCAACTCAACTCGCCGTGTTTGGAGGAGGAATGCTGCCTATGAACCCAAGAACACCATCCCCACCGTCAAACATGGAGGTGGAAACATGCTTTGGGGGTGTTTTTCTGCTAAGGGGACAGGACAACTTCACCCCATCAAAGGGACGATGGATGGGGCCATGTACCATCAAATCTTGGGTGAGAACCTCCTTCCCTCAGCCAGGGCATTGAAAATGGGTCGTGGATGGGTATTCCAGCATGACAATGACCCAAAACACACGGCCAAGGCAACAAAGGAGTGGCTCAAGAAGAAGCACATTAAGGTCCTGGAGTGGCCTAGCCAGTCTCCAGACCTTAATCCCATAGAAAATATGTGTAGGGAGCTGAAGGTTCGAGTTGCCACACGTCAGCCTCGAAACCTTAATGACTTGGAGAAGATCTGCAAAGAGGAGTGGGACAAAATCCATCCTGAGATGTGTGCAAACCTGGTGGCCAACTACAAGAAACGTCTGACCTCTGTGATTGCCAACAAGGGTTTTGCCAGCAAGTACTAAGTCATGTTTTGCAGAGGGGTCAAGTACTTATTTCCCTCATTAAAATGCAAATCAATTTATAACATTTTTGACATGCGTTTTTCTGGATTTTTTGTTGTTATTCTGTCTCTCACTGTTCAAATTAACCTACCATTAAATTATAGACTGATCATTTCTTTCTCAGTGGGCAAACGTACAAAATCAGCAGGGGATCAAATACTTTTAACCCTCACTGTATGTATGTGTGTTGGTCCATGTGTGTGTGAGTTTATTTACGTGTGTGTGTGTGAGAGTCAATATGTGTGTGTAAGTCTATGTGTGTGTGTGTGAGTCGATGTGTGTGTGTGTGTAGTCCGGCAAAACAACAGCCTACCTCTTTATGGTGCCGGATGGGCAACGCTGTTGTGGGGAGTGCTGTGAGGGGAGGGCCAATTCCGATTGGCCTTTCCCTTCATGGCGTTTGCGACTACCACAGCGTCCAAAAGGGGGCTCTGGACGGGACGAATAGGCTGGTAACCCCTCCACCTTCAATTCATTACCGCTAAACCACGACGGAAAAAAAATAATGAATAAGCTTGTGCCGGAGGTCCCAGGGGGAGAGGCTTCTATGACGCCTCCTGGCCAAACCCCATTAGGCGGAGCCAGGAGACTGAATCCTTACCCTCGGGGCTCCTCCAATAACAATAAAAAACACTATTCGTGGCCACGTGGAATGTTCGAACGCTCACTGCGGAGGAGAAGCTGCCACTCCTCTGTCGGGAGCTGGACCGGTACCGCCTGAATCTGTGGTATTCAGCAGGTCCGGTGGACCGGCTTTGGCTCCTGCCACAATGAGGGGTGTACAGTTCTCTTCTCGGGGCAGGAGACTGCCAAACAACAGGGAGTGCCTCTTCTGAACAAAATAATGAAGGGGGCGTGGGAGCATGGCGGTGAGGTGCGGGAAGCTGTAAGCCCCAGGCTACTTTGGCCTCGCCTTCCCATCAACCAAAGGTGAGGAGTGGTGGTCATGGTTACTTATGCCACCACTGAAGACGAACATCCATGGAGGGATGCAGGCAAGGCCAATGAGTCAGATGTCTTCTATGACCTTGTATATATAGGCCTTTTTCCAAAAAATTATATTAAGAATAATTCTGCCAATATATTTTTAAATAATAATAATCGATCGGGGTGAGCATGGGGCATGAAAAGGTGAGGCACACCCCACCCCTTACACCCAGCTGCCTTGCCACATTAAAGCAACTGGAGGGAGGAGGTCATAAAAAGCCATTAAATAATAAACTCGGGGCAAAG